AACAAGGAACTGATGAAAATGGTTACCTGTGTGGTGTGTTGGAGAAAGAGCTTAAGGAGTATTTTTAGAAGTTGTATTTTTCTTTATTCCCCTACATTAATATCTAGCTAAATTACAAATAATGGACTTCTGGGTTATTTTTTTTTATTTGTTACTAAAGGGAAGAAAATTAAAATGGTTTTGTTTTGAATATTTTTTACAACAGAAATGGAGTATCATTTACAATTTGGGACAGATGGACTATACATGGAAAAGAAGATTTCACCCTCTTGGATTTCATAAATGCAGTAAAAGTGAGACACATTCACTTAGTTGCTTAGAGTCTGTTACTTTTTATTACATTATTTGCTTTGAGTGTTACTTTTTGTACGTAATTTCATGGGAGATTTTTATAAATATTATTTAACCCAAATTTGTTTATTCTTTTTCTACTGGTAGTAAAACATTGTCACCTAACACTTTATATTTAGATAAAGCTTTGTTTCTGTTTTTGAATATTCATTTTCAGGAGAAGTATGGAATTGAGCCAACCATGGTGGTACAGGGTGTCAAAATGCTTTATGTTCCTGTAATGCCTGGTCATGCAAAAAGATTGAAGTTAACGTAAGTATCACACACTGTGTACAAAAGACTCACAGGAATCGAAGGAGGCACACTGGAAAATTAAATATAGAGGCTATCAAAGTTTAGGTAAAAGTATGTGATTTACTCCTAACAGCAGTCAAAATGACTGAATCTGAGTGTCTTAATTAGTGAAATTTAAAATTTGCTGCAAATAATGCACAAAAATGATTTATAGAGTTGGCCGATATTTGTAGTCTCCAGCATGACATGTTTTGTGAAAATTTTACATTTTATTACATTGTTTATTTAGCAGATGACTTACTGAGTACCTGTAAAGCACCTGTACAAGCTGGCTTCAGAAAGACCTGGGTTCACATCCTTCCTCAGCTACTTGTTTTGTCATGTGAAGTGGTAGCTTATTGAACTTTTTTGAAACTTAGTATCCTGTCCACAAATAGGGATGACTGTGCATGCCCATAGCTATTGAACATTAATAGTAATGGCTAGTAGTGTAATGGCAAGTAAAGAAATATTCCATACCCTGGCTGGTGTAGCTCAGTGGATTGAGCTCGGGCTGTGAACAAAAGCATCACAGGTTCGATTCCCAGTCAGGGCACATGCCTGGGTTGCGGGCCAGGTCCCCAGTGGGGGCCACATGAGAGGCAACTACACATTAATGTTTCTCTCTCTCTTTCTCCCTCCCTTACCATCTCTAAAAATAAATAAATGAAATATTACAAAAAAGAAATATTCTATAAATGTTACTCCTGTTAATATTTTGTCATACATCTTCATCAAATAGCCGTTGCTCTCAAGGACTTTACAGTCTGCTAAGGCAAAGTAACATGTTAATAATTAAAATGAAATTGAATAATTATTATAATAAAGGTTTTACAGAATACTATGGGTACTAAGTCAAACCTTGAGATTTTATTTGAACTACCATTGAAAATGGATTATATCAGACAAAAGCACTTAGTTTGAGCAAAGGCATGCAGTGATAATAAAGAGAGTAAATGATCTATTTGAGAAATCAAGTATTTTGGAATGACTTAAGGATGTGATGGTAGAATAAGTGGTGGAAAGAATGAAAATTATATATGGGACAAAATATATTTACAAAATGGAAAGAGCTACTATTGAGGAGTACAGATTTTATAGTTCAGAGTCTGGCATGAGATAAGTACATGATATATGACATAACATTTTTACATTTTAAGAGAATTCTGGCAGCAGAGTATATTGGAGGTAGAGGAGAAATTGGAGATATCTGTCTGGAAGCTAATCCAATAATAGGGTATATAGATGATTACTTGATTTAAGGCAGTAGAACTAACAATAGCATAAATGAAGTGTGTTTCCTTCTTTTACAGTTTTTATTTTTTTCATCAGTTTTTTTCATTACAGTTACACTCAGTATTCTGTATTAGTTTGAGATGTGTAGCATAGTGGTTGAACAGTCCTATACTTTAAAAAGTGGTCCCCCCGATATTTCAAGTACCTTCCAGACATAGCTATTACAATATTATTGACTATATTTCCTACACTGTAATTTATATCCCTGTGACTATTCTGTAACTGCCAATTTGTCTAAGCGATTTTTTAGTACATAGGATAAACAGAATATAAGGGAAAAGGTGAAACTTAAGAATGTCTTTTACTGTGATGTTGCTAGCTTGCAATTGAAGATTTAAATCTTGCTTGCTTTTTTCTCTTTTCAGAGATACGGTTGAGAACAATTTATATGACCCCTCCAATCTTTATAGGAAGTATAGGAGAATTTGTTTTTTGAATTCATTGCTTTCAAAAAGCATTTTGGGTTTCTTGGGAGGCAGGTTTGTTTGTGTTAGAGGATTTGTTTCACTTTTTGCTTTTGTCTTTGAATAAATGGTTTGTATTCTTCATCACTACCAGCAGTGGTCCAAATTGATTTACTGTTAGGTGTCTTGAGTTTAGAGCTTTTAGTTAAAAAGAATGTATGAAAGCAGGTGGATTATTAGGTTTAAAAATGAAATTAAACTCTAGGTACAAGTCCAGATTATTAGCAAATCACTCATTTTAGGAATTTACCAAATATTTGTCTTTGGTTATTTTTCATAGAATGCATAAACTTGTGAAACCTTCTACTGAAAAGAAATATGTGGATCTCACTGTGTCATTTGCCCCAGACACTGATGGTGATGAAGATTTGCCTGGACCTCCAGTAAGATACTACTTTAGTCATGACACTGATTAACAGAAGTTGTCTTAAAGTTATTCCAGGACTTCTTGATTTTGGAAAGAGTGCACTTAATTCAGAAGCTAAGAAATCAACTCACAATACTATGGATTTCTCTTTGAGGAAGCCTTAATTTAAGGGAAATATCAGTAGAAAACTACACTGAAGAATTGCAGAACATTTTGGAGCATAGTGTACACTTGTCTAGTGCTTCATACATGGATATTGATCACAAGCAACTTTGAATTGGAATGTCATTTTACAATGCTTACAGGAAATTTATGGATTAACCTCTCTGAATGAATAGAAGGAAAAAATGTGTATCGATGACCAGAATAGATGAAAGATTGAGGAATTGAAAGCAGCTATCCAAAAAGTTTAATCCTATTTATGAATTTATTTGATTAGTATCTGAGGCCCAAAATAGTGTTAGGCACCCCGCACATCTGATGATTAGGCTTTGAATTTTAACATCAGTGAGAATCGGAGGGATGATAGTGATGGATGAAAAGGAGACATTTTAAGTTGTACAGTTGTAGTTCATTGTCCTGTTACCTCAGCTAGTTTAACCAGAGTTTGTTATATCACTGTCTCCCAAAGATCAGGACTTCTGTTGATAGCATCAGTGCTGTAAGCCCTGAGCAGTAGGTCACATGACACATGTTACCTGGGACTAAATGTTAATAGTATTATATGGACTCTGACAGCCCTCTCAGAAAATCCGTGAATGTGAACAGATAAATGTGGCTAACCAGTTGATTCTTCCATATGCCTTCTAATGTGGCCCTTTTATTTATTTGGAACTCTAAACCTGATTGTTGTAGTTTGTAAAATGAAAAGGTTTTGTGAAAGGAGTGTTTTTTAGAAGTAGGTGAAAACTAGAAATTAAAAAGTTATCACTAGTTGAGTCTTGGATTTTTTTTTCCTTCCAGCAAACTAATGGACAGAAAAAAATAATTTAATATTTTATTTTAAAGAGAAACATATTATTTTATTCTGCATTCCCAGAAAGGGAGTTGATGAAAATAAAAATTTATTTTTTTAGGTCTTTATTGATAGAAACTTTGTTTTCTGATGTGACCTGTTGCCGATGTTCATATAAGTGCTTTCATTAAAATGACAGAGTATACTCAACATTGTAAACTTAGTGAAAGTAAAAAGTGTTTCTTTTTTTTTATTGTTCTATTACAGTTGTCCCAATTTTCCCCCATTGCTCTCCCTCGCCTCACCCACCCTCCCTCCCCACCATCAATCCCTCTTCTAAGACTATCTTGTATTCTAAAGCCAATTTAACCACCAGAAGTTGTTTTCCTCTGGCTGCTTCTCTTCTGCTCTCCTGTTAGGCCATTAATAGGTACTTTGATAAAAACTAAATTCACATCAATATTACTCCAATTTGGTATCTCTTTATACCCTTTGCTTAACTTTCCTTTTATTATATTTACAAGTACTTTAAATTACTTTGTCCAGCAGCTGTAATTTTTTCCTTTGCAAAAGTATCCAGTTGAGAAAACAAATTTCTTTAGGAATGGAGGATGAATTTGTATGATTAACAGATAATCTGTGCATTGGGAGGTGAAGAGAAGTGGACAAGATGAATTTAAAGGAAATGACTATAAGAAGCCTTTTTCCCACATCCATCTTGTTTTGTGCTCCACGACAATACCTGATATTGTCTAGGTAGCCATTAAGTAATAGTCAACTGTAACCTAATAGCTTACCATTTGGTGTAAATTTCGATATCTCTTCAAAAGTAAATTCAGAACCATGCTATCAATTTTATTTGTAGAGATACAAACCAAATCAAAAGGGATTAAGTTCATTTTGTGATTACACCTGAAACCATTTTGTCATGGCTTTTTTCCCCTGTGGGTAATGGTTATTGCCATTAACATCTTCTGTTTAGTTCTACTAAGCTGGAAAGCCAAGTTGATGTTAATGATAATTTTTTTGTTCTGTCTTGTTTATTTCTGTACCATAAGATTACTGTTGGTGATTGCAATTCTAGGTGCAAAAATTAATTTGATTTTGTACGGTACCAATGAGTAATTTTTTACTTATTAAAAATAAATTAAGAAATTTGACAATATCTCTGTAAATCCTGTTCCATAGTTGACTCCAGAGATTCCAGTTTTACCTTTTATTTTGTGGGTAATGTTGCTTTGGCGTTTCCTAATTTTTAAGTTATGCCGTCATGGAGATACACAGTCACTGGGTGTGTTGGGACAACAAAGTGCTTTTTGCTCCTGGAAATTCCATTAAGACATCAGCGGGGGAATGGTGGTGACCATGTGAAAACCTAGACCTGCTATATCCTGTACTGTTCATTGCAGATTTTCAAGTCCATTTTGGACTTCAAAACAGTTATGTTAACTTACCGGTAAGTTCCTCTAAATTACCCCAAACGTAATCCACAATTTTAAAACTAGTGAAATGAAGACAAAGAAAATAGTTTTCTTGATCTAAAAATTCACCCATAATGAATACTGTCAAAAATTCATTCCAATCATAAATGTATGATTATTTAAATACAATCACTAGGTGTGAGTTTGTTATTTTACTTTTAACTAATTCAATAGGAAATTGAGGTCTTGGAGATCACAGTAAGTAATGAGGTAATTTGCATTTATTTTTCTCTCACCTTGTCCTAGCTTTTTTTTTAATTCAAAAAATTAATATTGAAAAGAGTACATAAAATGTAAATACGCAGTTTTATGGAATCATTTTAAGGTCACTGTTCTCAAATCAATAGAACAGTGACAGCAGCCTGGAACTCCCCCTGGTAGTCTCTTTCCAATCCCAGCCAGCTTCCCCACACATACCTTCTGGCAGTAATACTCCCCTACCTTCCGTGATAACTATGTCTTTGTGTGTTTGTTTTCTTTTATTTGAAGCCATGTTCCATTTGATAGGGTTTTTTTTTCATGTATAATCTTTATTATATATTTTTTCCATTCCATTTAGTCCCCTTATACCTTCCTCCACCAAGCAATCACCTCAAGTTTTAGCGTTACCACCTATGTATGTACTTAAAGAATACTATTTACTTTTTGATGGTTTTTGAACTTTATGTAAATAGAATCATACTGTATTATTCTGTGGCTGCTTCTTTCATTGAACAAAAGATTCATCCATGTTGTCTGTAGTTATTCTTCATTCATAATTTACCTTTGCATTAACATACCACAATTCATTTGCTCATTCTGTTGAGTGAAGGCAAGTCTGATGATTTTAGTTTGGGGCAATTACAGTTACCCAGTGAACATTATTAATACAATATGTATCTCCTAGTGCAAATAAGGTATAACCTAGGAATGGAATTGTTTGGATAGAGGGTATCCATATCTTAAATCTTATTAGATAACAACCGTTCTTCCTGAGCAATAGAGATGTCCTGTTTCTCTACATCTTGGTCAACACTGGTATTAACAACAGACTTATTAGTAAAATTTTACTAGTCTGGTGGGTGCGTGGTGTATCTCATTGAAGTTGTACTCTGCATTCCCTAAATACCATTTAAATTGATAACATTTTCATAAATTTATTGGCCACTTTGATCTTTTTTATAGTGTTTTTTCAAGTCTTTTGCTCATTTTTCTCATTGTAAAAGGTCTTTACAAATCCTGTTCTTTGTTAGCTATATAGTTGAAAATATTTCCTCCCACTCTGGCTTGCCTTTACTTCTCTTTATGGTATTCTTTGATAAAAAGAATTTGTTAATAAATACTGATAAGTATCAATCTTTTGTTTTAAGGTTAGAGTTCTTTGTGAGTTTAAAAAATTGATCTGTACCCAAAGGTCATGAAGGTACTTCTTTATATTGTCTTCTAAAAGCTTTATTTTTGCCTTTGCCATTTAAATTTTTACTTCACAGGGGATTAATATTGTGTTTTCTGGGAAGTGCCTCACCACCACTTACCAAAGTTCATTCTTTTCTGTAGTGTCACTTTTCTGTAGTGCCACCATAGTCAGATGTCCATACATATCGTGTGTGTGTGTGTGTGGCAAAAGTAGGTTTATGGTTGTAATTACACAAAACATAGATAATGATAAATGATAATTATTGTATTATCATTTATTAATTATTTATAAACAGCTATAAACCTACTTCTGCCGCATTCTGTGTGTGTATATGTTTCTGAATTTTTTGTTTCTGTCCTATACTTCTGCTTTATACTATCTTCACTATAGCTGATATATTGGTTTTGCTGTTTGGCAGAACTAGTCCTCCTGGCTTGTTTGTAAGAGTATCTTGGTTATTCTTAGCCCTTTGTATTTTCAGTTCTCAAATTTCTATTTGCAAGTATGGAAATGTCACTCTTGCAGTTTCCGATTGCCTTGCCATAATTTTCAATCTTTTATATACCTGAAGATGTGTTTAGTAATTCTAAACTCTGAAATTCTCTGGATCTGTTTTTACTTTTCTTTTGTTTCTACTAATCCTCATTTCTTATTTTAAATTTTTATGTGTAATACTACTTTTTGTCGTATGCCAGTATTACATTTGAAAAATTATAGGAACAAAAAAAAGAAAAATTATAGAAACAATTCAATGCCCAGCATGATAATTTTCATCCTCCACAGAAATTTTTCATTTGCTCTACCAGACACTTGGGCACTAGTAATTGTGTATAATGATATTTATACAGCTTAATTAATAATTATCAAAAACTGGAAACTACCCTAACATTTTTAAATTGGTGGGTGGATAAGCAAACTGGTATTTCCATACAGTGAAATACTATTCAGCCTTAAAATAAGAGCAAGCTAGTAATACATACTGTACGTGTGTGAATCTAGACATTATGAGTGAAAGAAATAAGTCTAAAAAAGATTCCATACTGTGATTCCATTTATATGACATTCTGGAAAATGCAAAACTATAGCAATAGAAAACAGACCAGTGGTTGCCAGAGACTGACAATAAAAAGGGCTAGTTACAAAGGAAGAGCATTAAGGCATTTTTGAGGTGATCGAACTTTCCATATCTTGATTGTAGTGGTGGTTGTCAAAACTAATATGACTGGACACCAAAAATGTTGCTGTATGTAAATTAAATTATTTTTAAAAGAAAGAAAGATTACCCCTGTACATCAAACATACCACTCCTGGGATTGTTCAGTCACTTCACAGCTTCTCCTCTTTAAAAGCTCCAAGAAGGCAGGCCCTCAGATAATGTAGTTCAGTGTTTTGCTACAACATTGATAAGCCCCTGTAGGAATTTAACTCTTGTATCAATTAGCCTATGATAAAATTGGTTTTGTTTAACATTCTTTCACTTAAAAGTGTATAACCTCTCAATAATTTAAGTGAGGACTTGATGAACTTTATTGTCAACACTAAGAATTTCTAGCCCAAGGACATGCAGATCTCACCTTCTCTGAGATCTCGTGTTAGGCCCCAACCAACTTCCTTAAGGATTGGGGACCACATGAAGAAAATGGTTCAGCCCAAATTGCTGATGCACAGAATCATGAGAAAATAAAAGATTTGTTGGTTTAACCACCATGTTTTTGGGGTGGTTTGTGAAACCGCATGTTTTAGAGGTGGTTTGTTACATAATGCTAGGTAACTAACACAGTATCATCCATGGCGGAGGTAAATTATACTGGATTTCCCCCCAGCCAAAATTTTTTTTTTCTTATTTTAGAGTTGTTACAGGCAATCCTTCAGTTTCTGGAAAAAAAAATTTAAAAGTTCATTAGTAGTAGTAATAGCTCATTCCCAGAGGTTTCTAAGTTCCCGCATAAAGCCCAGGTAATGTATTTATGCTGGACAGATCTGTAATAATGTGTCATCTCTAGTGGTTATGTTTTATGAGAGAGAGCTGCTCAGAATTAGTGTACAGAAAAGGTCAGAGATGGAAGAGTGAGAGTGCTGGAGGAACCAATAACCTGTAGATGTCAGAGACTAGGGTGGGGTGGCGTTGCGGCCGTTTTTCAGTATTTCTAAAACCCTGTGTTGTCTCAAAGCTAGAAATTGGCTTAATATGCAGAAGTTAAAGGAAGGTATATTTCATACTCAATATTAAAGAAGGGTTCTCTGACGTGAGAGCTGACTAAAAGTGAACTGTGCTGCCTCAAAAACCAGTGAGGTGACTATAATTAGAAATTTTCATACAAGCTGAATGGTCACACCTTAGAATTGGTTTCTGTACTGAGTCTGAGGGTGATTCTGTAACAGTAAGACACTCTACTGGATAATTTTCTAAAGTTCCTTCAGAATGAGTTTTGAATTATTTGGCATTATAAGGTTTATAGCCATGTTTCAAAACTTAAACTTTTAAAACTTCTACCCTTTTAATTTGGGAGCTTTTCCAGATAATGTCATGATGCAGGTAGCCAAAGTCATTTTCCCTCATGATCTGTAGGAACACAGTCTTTGGATAACTGAATCCAAACAAGCTGGAAATATTTTTCTCTCTCCTGCTTATGGCTTATCAAGTAACCATGTACCAGGGATTATTTCAAAGGATGGAGAGAAACACAAGCAGCTTCCCCTGCTGTGCCAAAAACAGGTACAAACAGGGCCAGTTTTACCTTATGTGAACATGGGGTCTCATGCTTGGTTCAATGATCTGCAGTTACTGTTTTAAAATCTGTCTACTATCTATAATCTTTTTTTTTATCTGTAGTTTCTTACCACCCACTCACTCCTCGTTATCTTCACTGTACTTCTGCCTTCATGGTGGAATAAGAAGACCTCTCTCTCAAGTCATCTACTGCCTAATGGCCAGTTCCCACAGTCTCTCCTTAATCTTCATCCATTTCAATGTGTCCAGAGCATCTGACACTGTTGACAGACCCTACCTTTAAACTTCCTGTTTGGTTTCCATGACTGCGTATTACAGTTTTCTTCTTATCTCTGAATTTGTTTGATAAAGCCATATAGAATAATTAAATGACGTTACTAGTCATAACACATGCCTCCGAGTTTTTATTTTTCTAGAATGGGCCCATCCTCTAGCCGCCAGGATATATTGGTACTCCCTTATTTTCACAGGGTCAGTGACAAAATGATTTCTAAGTGGGTAAATTTAAAAGCAGAACTAAAGTCCTACCTGGTAGGTATTAAAATCATAATACAGGGTTTTGTTTTGCTTTGCTTTGCTTTCCTTTCCTTAGTACAGCAATGAAATGAACATACCGAAGGTTCCATCAGTTGAATATATAAATGGTCGTAAATTCCCTCGAGTCTCCTTCATGAAATAATCAATGACACTAAAAAGGTTTGGGAGTGTTACCTGTATAAAGAGAGAGTGAGAGAAGGCTCAATGTCACCTGTGTAAAGATAGAGTAAGATAAAGCTCAACTGAAATTCAGTTGAGATTGCTGTGTATTTCCTGACCTCCAGAAAGTCATATCCATACCTCACTTCGATGGCTTACTGAATGGTTTTGCCTACCTGTGCATTTTACTTCTTTCTAATCATAGCTGATTCCCTGTTGAGAAATTTCCCCTTTCTCATTGGTTACATTTTGGTGGACAATAATTAGGTACTCTGCTCTTCCCTAGTTACTGCATGATAGTGTGGCTCAAATTAGGTCAGAAATGCTCCCCTCCTGAAACTTGAGCTTGAGAAGAGGAACAAGGCGGAAGAGTAGATTTCTAATCAAATGGTTTTTACTGTAACTGCTTCCTAATCCCTGATTTTCCAACCTTCCAGTCATGCTATGTGCTTCCTATGTTCTTTTATTTATTTTTGTTTAATTTATCCATAGTTGGTTTCTCCTGCTTGAAACAGAGAAATTAGCATTTTAATATTTCATTGTGACTGGATAATTTGCTTGGCTAGGAATAACAAATGCGTTGCTACTCCCAATATTCCCAGTAACCTTAAAGAGGGAAAAATTCAGGAAGTGACAGCCTGGTTGAGGGTGTGTTGAGGAGTGTGAAAGGAAGAAGAATAACCCAGGCTGTTAGCTTTCCTTACACTGGGGACAGCTTGTGCTAATGACAGATAAATGAGCCCAGCTCACCACTCACAGAGACATTCTTCTTCCCTGACCGTTGCTTCCACTCACTTGTAGTTGGATTGCCCTTCAGCAATCTAGTTCTCTGTTTCTCATTAAAAATTTTGAAAAATCCCAGTCAGGCATGGACATGAGCATGGAGAAGCTCTGGGAAGCATTTAGAGCAAAGGTTTAAGTGGAGTATACAAATCAGCAGGCGCCTTACTCTTGGCAAATGTCACTACTGTACTCTAACGGTTATGGTTGAAACAAATCCAACCATACTGACCCTTTCTCTGATCAATACAATGGGCATGGGGGGACAGGAGAGCTAGCAGCTCAGTTTTACAAAATGTATTGTCATTATCTTTGAGAACCATGGGTTTCATTTAAGTGATATTTCCTGGCCCAATCTTTGCACCACTGCAGCCTAAGACCTCAGGGCTAACTTCCCCTTATTCCGCATCCTAGACCATAGGCCACATTACAACATCCTCATTGGTTGAGATCAATGTAAATACCAGTTTTCCCACCTGCATAACAGACGTTACCTCAGAGTAGTGATAAAGAATAAATTAGATGGTGTATGTAAAGTACTAGCTGTGTGTCTAACAGTAGGTAGTATTTATGATACATCATTAGCCCCACAATAAGTCGGTTGGGGTAGAAGAGGGTTGCAGACAAGGACAAAACCCTTTCTTTATTACTATGCTGCTATTAAAAAGGGGGGTTTCTGAAATTCTGCATGGTGGGTATTAGACAAGTAGGCATTCACAGCTTTTTCCCCATTAGAAATAAGCACATTGAAGAAACCCCAGAAATAAACTCATGTCTATATGGTTAATCAATCTATGACAAAGGAAGAAAGAATATACAATGAGGTAAAGACAGTCTGTTCAATAAATGGAGTTGGGAAAACTGGACGCAGGCATGCAAAAAAAATGAAACGACTACCTTCTTACACCATATATAAGAATAAATTCAAAATGAATTAAAGACTTAAATAAGACCTGAAGCCATAAAATTCTAAGAAGAAAATATAGGCAATAAACTATCTGACATTGCACTTAGTAATATATTTTTTATATACCTTCTTGGGCAAGGGAAACAAAAAAAAATGGGACTACATCAAATTAAAAAGGGTTTGCAGATCAAAGGAAACAAACAAAATGAAGACAGTCTATTGATTGGGAGGAAATATTTACCAATGATACATTCAATAAGGGATTAATATCCAAAATTGACAAAGAACTCATATAACAACACCAAAAACAAAACAATCCAATTAAAAAGTAGGCAGAGGATCTAAATAGACATTTCTCTGTAGAAGACATATAGATGGCTAATAGACATATGAAAAGATGCTCAAAATCACTATCAGAAATGCAAATTAAAACCACAGTGAGATACCACCTCACCCCTGTCAGAATGGCTATCATCAACCAACCAACAAATGTTGGCAATGATGTGGAAAATAGGGAAGCCTAGTGCAATCGTGGTGGGAATGCAGACTGGTGCAGCCACCATGGAAACCGTATGGAAGCTCCTCAAAAAATCATATAGAACTACTTTATGACCCAGCAATTTCGCTTCTGGGCATTTATCCAAAGAAATCCAAAACACTAATTTGAAAGTGTATTTGTATCCCTATGTTCATTGCAACATTATTTACAATAGCCAAGATATGGAAGCAACTCAATTGCCCATCAATAGACGATTGGATTAAGATGTGCTTCAATGGAATATTGCTCAGCCATAAAAAGGAAGAAATCTTACTATCTGAAACAGCATGGATGGACCTAGAGGGTACTATGCTAAGTGAAATGAGCAGAGAAAGACAAATAGAGCATGATTTCATTTGTGGAATCTAAAGAACAAAATAAATGAACAAACATTCATATATAGAGTACAAACTGATTGAATTTTCCTTTTTATTGAATTTATTGGGGTGACATTAACAAAATTATACAGGTTTCAGGTGCACAATTCTGTAACACATCATCTGTAGGCTGTATTTCCTGCATGTTCACCACCCTAAGTCAAGTCTCTGCCCATCACCATTTATCCCCCTGTATCCTCCACAAACTGATGGTTGCCAGATGGGAGGAGGGTTGAAGGGCTGGGTGAAAAAGGCGAAGGGATTAAAAAGTACAAATTGGTAGTTACAAAATAGCCATGGGGACATAAAGTACAGCATAGGGAATATAGTCAACAATATTTACAACAATATTGTAAAACTATGTATGGTGCCAGGTAGGTATTAAACAGATTGGGGCTATCACTTTGTAAATTAATAAATGCCTAACCTCTATCCTCTGTACACCTGAAATTAATATAATATTGAATGTCAACTAATGGAAAAAAAGTTTTTTTTAATTTTTAAAGGAACAAGCAGTGAAATGCTGTGTTGGAAGATTTAAAGCAACTACTTAACAATATATTTTCTCTCCCTGAAACAATATTGATAAAGATTTACATAAAAAGAAAAGTAAAGAATTTTTAGCAGATTATCTTCTATTCTGTTTCATCCACCTGCTCTATCATCTCACTTCTCACCCCGGATATCTGCTACCTCAGGGCTCCTTAACATGACTTTCTTTCTCCAGCACTGTGTTCCTAGGCAAGGAGTCTGCTTTTCCACCTTTGTGTTCCACCCTTGTGTTTCCATCTTTGTGTTCTTTAAGTATGTTTGGAAGGAAGAAAGAAAAATTCATCAACAATAAGGAAATAGTTACTTACAGGTTTTTCCAGTTCAATAGTGTAGTTTTTTCCCACATTTGACACTTTGTAGTGCTTGATTCTTGGCATGCTAAAGTGAAAAAAAAAAAGATTAATCTCCATGTGAGTATACTATTGAGTGAAATCAAACTAAAATGAGTATAAAGCCCTGGCTAGGTAACTCAGTTGGTTAGAGCATCATCCCAATACACCAAGATTGGGAGATCAATCCCTGGTCAGGGCACATACAAGAATCAACCAATGAATGCATAAATAAATGGAACAACAAATTGATGTTTCTCTCTCCCTCCCTCCTTTCTCTAAAAATCAATAAATAAAAGAAAATAATGTTTATTTTAAAATTAAATGATATGAGCATAAAATATCACTTGTATAATAAAACCTATGTTTCAATGACTCGGCAAAAAAAGTTGTTTTTTTTTCCCTATTTATCTGGTTCTCTATGTTTGGGGGCAGCGGGTCATACACTAGGAGCATAAGAAACCTGGGTCATTGAGTGGTTCAATGAGAAAAAGTAACATAAATAAAGGAATCAACAACTGAACATCTTTTAGGCAGATATATTTTTAAGTGCCAATAACTTACAAAGTAGACAACATATAAAATCTTAGGTGGGCATAATACAAATCAAATACATATTTTCCATATTAAATGAGAAATAGAATTACTGAAAGCAAATTACTTTCTACTCCACCTCACCACTATTCGAGTCAGAAAGCCCTCCGTGGCTGTTCTTCCTACTAGCTTTATACCACCTTGAACTTAGAGATACGGAAAATGCTACGTGCTAGGTACTATATGAACACTCAGGTGAGAATGTAAGTACAGTAGATGAATCTTAATGTCTTTTTCTTCTATGGTCACATAGCACTCTAATTTTTTAATTTAATTTTTATTTTATTTTTTTCCATTACCGTTTAGTCCCCTTACAGCCCCTTTAACACTCTACCCTAAATATGTGGTATTTTATTGACTGCATTGCTTAAGAACAAGAAGCACACTCTATTCACCTTTGTATTCCAGCATCAGGCACACAGAAGTATGTAGGAAACTGAATTTTATAACTTGAGGAGCCTACCTCAGTGCTATTTGCTAGAACTAATTTCTACTGAGAGTGTTAAGTGTCTGTCCATGGCATTTGAACAACAGTATGTTTTGCCTTGAACTCCCTTGTTTCATATGGCAACAGTGTCGGGACCAAGACTTTCTCAAATGTTGAAAAAGAGTAAATGGATTTATTTACACTGCCATTTGCTTGAAAGACAGACTAATTCAATGCCTGTCCAATTTACAGAAGCCGGTTAAAGCAAAATTGCCAGGTGAAGTTGGTCTGCAGGGCCTCTCACCTTGTTTTTCATCACTCCCTCCCCATTTCCAGGTCACATTTCTCTAGGACTGAACTACACTTCTGTTCACAGGCCTCTCCTTCATCTACTGTTGTATTCAAATCTTTCATTTGCTTGTTATGTTGGAAAACAGCTGATAATTTTATTCTAATGGCTTATTCTAGGGCTTTCAAAACGTGGGATAAACACTAACAAACCCTCTCCCATCCTAATAAAGGAAAAATTATTTCCTAATGCTGAACCTTCAGGCATCAGTTACAGGCTGGTGAAGTAAACATTTTTTAACAGAGGAGGTCTTACAAGTACCCTTTGTTGGGGTGGTTGGTTCTGGCTTCATCTTTATCCCTACCTTGAAAACCATACCTTTATAGTCGTACCAATCCCATTTAGAGTTCTTGTATTCCTATGAAATAAGTGATTATTATTCCTTGATAGAAAGCTTGAAGGGCATGGCCTTGGGAACTAGAAGGATCTAGGTTCAAACACTGGTTCTGTTTTGTTAAACTCTATGAGCCTTCACTTCTTCATCTGTAAAATGGAGATGATGGTAATGCCTATGCTAACAAGGCTATAGTGGATTATGTTTAGAAATTCCTCAGTACGGTGTCTGGCACATTTATTTACTCAATAAATTACTATTTTTATACTTTTTAAATTTGTAAGCTAGTAGTTTCTGTAAATTCTCAGCTTCTTCATTTGTAAAACATGGAAAATGCTGTCTGTCTCAGTGTTTACTATGCTGAAGAAAATCCTTGTTAGGCACTCAACATAGTGCCCACAAATGGTACCATATAAGTGGGGACAAGGATTGTTAGCAAAAAACTGTCATTTCACAACAATCATCATTCATGGCACAGCTGTGAAAGAACCAGTCACAAAGGTTAACAGGGTTTCTTGGAACTTTTGACTAACAGGACTAAGTTCTGAAGCAGAAAGGTAGAAAAAAATTCCACTTAGGCTTTGACTTTCATTTTAGACCTTTGTCTTTCTTCTGTATTTTGTTTTGTTTTTCCAAAGGAATAAAGAGAGCAGGGGAAAAAACGAGATTGATAAAATTTGCTATATTGAGGTTTCCTGTGTACGACCTCAAAAAAAAAGTAGCCTATCTTTAAAAAAAAAGAATGTGTGGCCTTAAATGTGATTATAAATGCTTATTCTTAGCTTTTGACCCCAATTTTTGCAAAGGAATGAATTTGGGGGTAGTAGTGTCTACTACTCCCTTGGTTAATGTCTTTCCAAAGTGTTCATACTGCTGGCTTGCCACATAGTCATAACAGTTTTTGGAAAACCCAACCAAATCAAGCAGTTTGTTGTAAAAATAGCTTTATGTCTTGTGAATTCACACACCACTGGTCTGGGTAAAGGTGGATGATATTTTACAACAAGAGAGGAGTCACGTGATAATTTGACATTGAATGACTTGCTTCTTCCTGAAAACAACAATCTTCCCTCCCTCAGTTGATTTGTTAACAGATGGAGATCATTTTACTTTCATGGTATTTTGTAAACCAACTTGTCCTATTCAGCTAGTGTTTTACCAGACACAGTCATTTAAACTTGCGTGGTTGAACATTTCTCCTACAACCTGTGAGAGAATAAATTGGTTTTGTGGGTAACACGGGTGCTTCCTAATAGTCTAGATTTCTGCCAGATCTTTACATTAAGCTCTACAGTCTAACATGCTAAAATTCTACTCCTCTCTACAATTGCTAGCCTTCAAAATTAAGTGATCTGTTTAATACAAAATATTAAATCTAAGCATTCTAAAAGACCTATTTGGAGGCATTAAAGAACACATATAACAATACTGAACATTAATATCTGGCTCATAAGGAAAATTTGTACAATAGCAGCTAGTTTTACTAAATGTTATATTCTTATGACCATCAGCTGTACAAAAGTATAAACTACATGAATTCAAACTGGAAGTGAGTATACAAAAATTAGATACATAACTTTGAAATGAACTCCTTTGCCAGACTCTTACAAGTTTAAGTACAATATGAATATAAGTAAAAACTGTGACATTACATTTATCTCCTAAGTATAGAAACTCCTTGCATTTGGTCAAAAACCACATCTACAGCAGAAGAAAAAAAAAAAACTTATTTCTCATAGCCTGCTTGCACAGAAAGTGCAGTACAAAAGTTGGGCTAATTTAGAATACCTTAAAAGGGACCTAGCTGCTACTGTGCTGGAAATACACAGTCTTTAAAGAGCCATTAGACCTCAGGATTTTGTTTGTTACAAAAAGAACAGTAACATGGGGCTCACATGCAAACTGATCAAGCACTCAATCCCACCTAGGAAAAAAATAATATGAAGGAAAAATGATTATCAGTCCCTGATGTGATCTACTCTGTCATTCAAGCAGTTAGATGGTTTCTTAAAAAAAAAACAAAACTGCAAGATAAATTTTAATTGTTTTGTATATTTTTATTTTTTACAGTGGAAACTAATAGTTAAAGACATTCAATATTTTATGTGATACTCAATTTCCTAATCCCTGAAAAAGCATAATCTCCTTCATCAGGATGTAGTGAACAGAAAAATCTACTTTTCTCCCAGGAGTTCTTCTAAGCTCACTGATATTTAATGGCCATCATAATTTTTATGTGTTGGATGTTTCAAGATAGCCAATTAAATGATAACTAAATTATAACTGAAAGATTTATGATATTCTACTGTATCAGTTGAAAATCATTAACTGCAAATGTTAGCCTATAATAATTAAAAAGATACTCAATCCAAAAGTTGATGTAGATATTCATTGTGGAAACCCACACACACAGATTCTCTTCCTTCACCCACAGAACCAGGATCAGGCTTACCATCTAACATTCTTGCCAACCATTCCTTGCACATGACTAGCGTATGCGGAGTAACTGGCAAGTCAATAAAACTGATTAGACCTTGTCTTATACTAGCAATGCAGCCATAATGTCATAATTTTATTTTTTCCTGTGGTTATTTTCTTTTTGCTATCTTTATTCATTGTCAATATCTTCATATTTACTCTATTTAGAATTACTGATTTTTATGGTAGATTGGAAGATAGATTCATTGGTAGATATGTTATAGCTAAAAAATAATAGAATATTACCCTCAGAAAAAACAACATTCAAAAATCTAAGTTCTGTTTATGTTTTTTCTGAAAACGAATCACTTACTGAATATTTTCACATGGGACAAAAACCTCTATATGTTAATTATATCATCAGTTGTGAAGATATTAACCCAACCAGGGTTCCTATTGAAATGCAAGTTTTTATAGACTCTGAGAGCTGAAATGAATCTTAAAAGATCCAACCACCCTGGGCACGCAGAACAATCAACTAGTACATGTAAATGTTACTTACTCTACCAAACATAAACCATTTTACTGGAAATTATTAACCTTGACAAGAGGCTCCTAAATAGTCTTTTTCATAGATTCACCAGATTATGTTACTTCTTTACTCATCATCACACTCCATTGCTGTCATGTCAATCGGAATAAAACCCTGGTCCCCACGATGACCTGTACGTGTGACCAGTCACTACCCCACCCTCTGGCATCTGTCTGCTACCACTTCCTCTTCACTCACTCCACTGCAATTCACAAAGGCGTCTTTTTGTTTCTTGAACAAACCAAGCTTTCTCCCGCCTCTGAGCACATGCACTTGCTGCCTGGTATGCTCTAGTTCCAGAAATTGAAATGGTTGGTTCCTCCACTTCCCTCAGATCTCTGCTTAAATGTCAGTTAATAAAGTAGGCTTTCCCTGACCACGCCACATTAAAACAACAACAGCAACTAGAAAATTTTTTCTTCTTTTTTAACAAGGAAGACTTCACAAATTTGCATGTCATCCTAACACACAGGCCATGCTAACCTCTGTATCATGCCAATTTTAGTATATGTTCTACCAAAGTGAGCATGTAATTTTCTCTATTACCTCTGAGGTTCCCATTTCCTTCTTCTTGGTTTATTTTACTTCCATAGGCCTTATTACCATATGTATGAAATTTTTGGTTATGTGTTTATTTATAGCCTGTCTCTCCTTACAAATATGTAAACTTCCTTAAACCAGAGATATTGTTTTGCTCACTGCTGCATCCTCAGTATCTAGAAAATCACTTGGCCCATAGTAATTGCTCAATAAATATTTGTTAAAATGAAAGAAGAAATGAATGAACTATATGCAAGACCAAAGTACTCTGCTCATTCTTCTTCCCTATAGCAAATATTGGCCTTGGCTCAGTCTTCAGCATCACTTACATAACGTTCCCTCTCTATTCTTGTTTTGTATTTTTAGCCCCAACAAAACACATAGCAGATGCTCCTCTAAACTTTATGACTTGATATCATGCTTTTTAATAATTCCATATGTTTATTTAATTAAACATACTCTCTCTCCTGCCGGATAGTAATGGAGAAGTTTCTGCTGTCACTACCAGGCCTCAGGATCATATTCCCCAATGAAGGATTCTTTTCAAGCATCTCAGTTGCTTCTTTCCGAGACACTGTATAAAAACATCTATAGAGATAAAATAAAAAACATTTTTTTAAAAAATTGATAAAGATCATTATTTGAAAAAATGCTACTAAAATAACTTTAAGAACTGCAGTTATAAACTTTTCTTAAAATTCTCAGCTTTATTTTTATAATTAATGATACAATTATAATTACTGTTATTACTAGCCTGTGCCACTGTATGTGTATGCCTAAAGCCCTCCTTCCTTCCTCCCTCCAAAACCTCTTTCTCTAATGAAAGGGGACCTGAAAAGTTATCTGCTGATCAGTATACAATTACCATTACCATTTGAAAATCTAAGACAAGAATTAACAATGTCTCTACAGTCTTAGTTTATAATAATAGGCTCTTGAATAAATAACATTTGTTGGTGGCTTCTTTCCAGAGATTAAAAAAAAGACCTCTATACATGCTTCTCTTGTAAGGTCTCTATTTTAAATAACTCATATTTAAGGGTATGTATTAACTCACTTATTTTGGTATAATATGGCTTCCTTATGACATTGATGGTGTTTTTACATGTAAGTCACAGAAAAATATCTGGCAGAATATGTAAAATACACCAAAATGTTAACAGCAAATATCTTTGAGTTGTGGAACAAGGAAGGATTTTGGTCTTCTTTTCAGTTATGTGTAAAAACACATATTGTTTTGTTGAACATTTATGGTTCTTTTGAACCCACAACCTAAGTATGGGCCATGCCCGGGGATCAAACTCATAAACTTTTGGTGTACAGGATAATGCTCCAACCAACTGAGCCACCAGGCCAAGGCTTTGACTTTTAACCTATTAGTCATTAGTTGTCATTGGTTCAGCTAAAAGTTATGGTTGAGAAGGTTTTGGTGATTACAGAACAGAAAGAACATGAATCATAACCTGATGTCAAAGGTGGTACTGGACATGATTCACTAATGAGAACTTGACCAAGAGTTCCAGGAGGAAGGTGTTCACAATCTTAGTCACACTTCTTAACAATAAAACAGTTCATATATATATGGATATTGCTGAATTCAGCATGTTCAGTGCCTCAATTTTCCCAACAATACCTTACACATTTTACACAGAGCCTTCCTCCAAGTACAAGCTTAATGGCTACTCACTGATTGACTGAACGGTTGGCTAGAACATTCAGTTATTTTTAATTCTTTAGTATACTTTTCTGAAAGAAAAATCAGTCAATTGGAGAATTGCAAGGTGAAAAAATATCGCTTCCTTCCTTCCTCATAGCAGTTTTTATTTAGGTTTAAACTTTGGAAAGAATGCCTATTTGGTCTAAAAGTGTGGGTGAGAGGGGATTTCCTGTGTGGTAAGGTTATTTGGTTCAAATCTGCATTTTGTCTTTTGTTGATCATGACCCAGAAGAGGAAATGTGGCGTGTACTCAGAAGTATGTTCTTTATCCACAAGACAACTTGATGCCCGTGGCTTAATGAGGTCAACAATGAACTCTACTTAATGTTACAATCTAATAAATAAACTGGGGTTGACGGTGCACTTACGCGGGCATAGGGTTCAGTACATCCACATAGTCTTCACTTGGTTCCCCCTCTTTTTCCGGAGATGTGCTCGGGAGCTGCTCTGTCTCGATTCTCCTTTTCTTTTCTCTCTCTAAGACTTCATGAAGTCTAATTACTTGTCCAGGAAGGAGGGACACATCTTCAGGAACTGACAGCTAAAACCAATTAAAACAGGCAAACAAGAAAGACAGCAAAATAACCAATTTTTAGCGAAGATGAGCCTGTTCTGGTCCTGAGGAGCTTTGGTTACCTGACAGAGATGGATGGGTAGAATCACGAATAGACAACCTTGGTGTCGGGGGAGGTGTCCTAGCACAGCCTCTAAACCAAATAGAACCTGCACAGGGTGCCTGATCTTCTTCCAAGAAATGTTCCTTTTTGTCTGGCCCCAAAACAAAGTATACCCACCTTGCACAAGAGGCTAATTCAAGTAACAACAGATCTCTCATGTTTTCATTCTGAGTTTAGTAGTTCTCACTGCCAGGGAAGTCCAAGAGCACCTACAAACTGCATAGCTCTTCCACAAGTAACCAAGAGCTATCTCCACCAACCACACAGTAACATGGGGTTGAGATGGCACTATGCATTAGATGACCGAGGATCAGCAATCAGAGGTCTATTTCAGTGTGCTTGTGTGTATATTTCAAAGTTCTATTTCATATTAGGATGATGATTTTGCTCTATTTACTACTTTTTTTAACCTTTCCTGGAAATGTATTTTGGATTGAGTAATCTATATCCTCCTGATCTATATTTGTACCCCTGATTTAGACCATATTTTGACCATGTCTAATTAACAGCTTGATCTGCAGAGTGAAATACATGCTTTCCAGGGGATGTACAGGAAAGTTCATTGGAAGAAAATGCTAGAATGTTTTCTATGTACTCATCTAATTAATTCTTATGACTGATGTCCATGCATATGAAATTTGAAATGAAAATTACTAATTAGGGTACACAAAAGGATAACTAAGCTAACTAATATCAGTAAGGCTATTTTTTTATATACCAATCCAGAAAAAAAATAATAGAATGAAGAAAAACTAATGATACAGTTACTCCTTGTTAATTACCTATTACGTCTCAGGTATTGTGTTATTGCAAATTCTCACAACAATGCTTCAATATGTATCCTACTTTAGAAATTAAAAAAACAAACAGACAAAAAAAAACAGGCTCAGAAAAATTAAATAACTTTCCAGGGTCACATTGCTAGTAACTTGTAAAATCAAGACTCAAACTCTGGTTTTCTTTAATTCAAAAGCAACATCTAGCCCTGACTGGTGTGCCTTAGTGGGTTGGGTGTCATCCTGCAAACCAGAATGCCAGGTTACCAGGTTGATTCCCAGTCAGGGCACATGCCTGGGTTGTGGACCAGGTCCCCTGTTGGGGGTGCACAAGAGGCAGTTGGTGGATATTTCTCTCACACGCTGATGTTTCTCTCCCACTGTTTCTCCCTCCTGCCCCCTCTCTAAAAATAAATACATAAAATCTTAAAAGAAAAAACAAAGCAATGTCTCAGCTCTTTCAGCGATAGTCTGTCTTTCTCAAACTTCTACTGTGAAGTTCTCCTAACAACAAGCAGAGTGATCTGGGATCGTTGGGCAAAAACATTTATAGAGCACATTTAATGTAACTTGTCTTCTTTTGGAAACTCACATAAATCTTATATTCTGTAATATACCTATATACATTTTAATTTTTTAAAATAACGTTTTTTATCCTTTCCTTAAGGAAAAACATGAAAACAAATTGGGGGCCAAAACATCAAGTATAATTAGTGTACCAGAAAGATGCACTGCAATTTTGCAGTGGTTTTAGTGATGGCTACTCATTGATGGCTACTCAGATTCCACTGGGAGACTTGTTCCCCAGTGTAAGAAATGCCATTGTACAAAATACTTCCTTTCCACAACTGAGGAAAAGAATGCAATTCCCCAAAGAGTTTCTCTTTCACCCCAAGTAAACATGTCTTTAACTGGTCTACTTTTTAATCCGCCTATGACTTACCCACATGGTAGCTGAACCTCCAACTTTTACATGTTATTGACTTACATAAAAAACCCAGCATCCATCATCTCAGTAAAGTGCAGTGCTTATTCCATGTGACAGCAAAGGCTTTACTTTGAAGAGAGTCTGTATTTAACTTAACCTAATAAACATAGACAATTATCTTATCTTCTCAAAGTATTAGATAATATGATGCTTTTGGAGGGCTGACTATCAAAGTACCTCATGTTTCTAAGACAATTGCTATAGTCGCTTTATTTAAAATAATTGTAGTTATCTTGCTACAACAGTAAACCATAAGCAGTAGATCTTATTGTTGATCTCGGATAAGATGCCACAGAGTTAAACAGATAAACATTCCTTTGTCTTAAGATGCACAAAACAAACATTTTTTTAAATTTACCATTTGGGCTATTTTTTAAAGATTTTATTTATTTAGTTTTAGAGAGGGAAGGGAGGGAGAAAGAGAGAGAAACATCAATGTGCAGTTGCTGGGGGTCATGGCCTGCAACCCAGGCATGTACCCTGACTGGGAATTGAACCTGCGACACTGGTTCGCAGCCCATGCTCAATCCACTGAGCTATGCCAGCCAGGGCCCAAAACAAACATTTAAACAAAGTGAGTTCTGCCCTGGCTGGCATGGCTCAATGGATTGAGCATGGGCCTGCCTGCGAACCAAAGAGTGGCTGGTTCAATTCCCATCGAGGGCACATGCCTAGGTTGTGGGCCAGGTCCCAGGTAGGGGGTATGCAAGAGGCAACCACACACTGATGTTTCTCTCCCGCTCTTTATTCCTCTCTTCCCCTCTCTAAAAATAAATAAATAAAATCTTAAAAAAAATAAAGTGAGTTTTATCTTGATAGTCCCCCCGTTGTATTGTCTAAGTTATTCATAAAATCCCTCCAGTTAGCATGTTATAAATATGTTTTAAATGAATACGTATGGATTTGGAAAGTATTTTAGTGGATGCTATGTAAGCTAAAATATCAGGATATGCGAAGACAACTTGTCAATAGAATGAGACCAAAAAGTAGATTTCCCTGACCACCTATTACTTGTTAGTAGCACCGTGTTTATTTTCTTTACAGCAATTATCACAATTTGAAATTATCTTTTTTGTTGACTTCTTTATTTTATTTTTCCCTCTCCATCCATCTGACAAAAATAAAATCTCCCAAGTAAGTCTGAAGGTTTATATCTGTATTTTTCAATGGCTATATCTTCAACCCCTTTTTCTCTGCATGGTTCATAGTAAATGTTCAGTAAATATTTGTTGAATGAATGAATCAATCAAAAGTAATGTCCTTCCTACCTCTGTTACTGTAAGAATGAAGCCTCTCCATTCTTCCCCACTTTCTGTGTTCTCTGTCTAAAGATGAAGACAAGACAGATAAAGACAAAGAAGAAAAAACATAAGTGACTATGAACATTCATACATATATTAACTTCAAATAACTTCCAAATTTCATGATTGTTTGAAAAAACTTAAGTTGTGTATCCCATCAAAAATCAGCAAGACAACAAAGAGGCAAATTCTTTTATTGAAGCACACTGTTTTAAGAAGTCAATTATAATTTTTAAAATTAGTTAAATGGAAGAAACAATTCATTTTTTTGCTTAGAACCATGTATATTTGTTACAAAATATTTCAATGTTGTTTTCTTTTGTCAGAAGTATATACCTTTAATCTGTTTGCTTAGAAAACAAGTAAAATTGTAAAATTTACTTAACTCAAAAAATTGTAAATGTTAGCACACTTATTTCTGCAGAATGTCAATTTATGTTTGATCCTCAATTGGTATTTAACATTGACTGTCTTTAAATTTGGGGCAACCAGGTAGAACCAATGTAGTTAGTCCTTAGAAACTTAGAATTGTTAGCTCTAAAATCTACGAACATGGTCAAAGTTATTAAGACTCACAAGTAGCAGCTACTGTTCTATTCATATTTATTATCTAATTTAATCTTCATGGCAACTCGGTAAAAAGCACTATCATTTTTTTTAAGATTTACTTATTTAACAGGTATTTATTGAGTGCCTTTCAGTGCTAGGCATTATTCTAGGTACTGGTTTACATCAGGGAACAAGAAAATCCTTATTCTCATGGAACTTAGAGTCTAGCAAGGAACAACAAATAATAAAAATGATAGCGAGTAAAGTCTATGGTGTCAGAAGGAAATAAATGGAAAAATAAAATATAGATCAGGTTAAGAGAGAGCAAGAATGCCATGGAGGGAGGGGAATGTTGCCATATTAATAAAACAGTGCAGGTAGGTCTCAGTAAGAAGGTTCAATCTGAGCAGACTATAGAAACCAAGGTTCCTCCCAGCTGTAGAGACCAAGGTATGAAAAGGTTAAGAAACTTCGCCCACGATCATAGTGCCCATGAACTAAATAGCCAGAATTCAAGCTCGGCATCTGACTCCAATCCTGCCTGTGTTCTTAACCACCACATCAGAATCATCTGGTGGACAGGGCTTGTTTAAAATGTAGATTCTGAGGCCCAGGTTTATGGGATGGAACCTGGATTTCCTAAGTACAAGTGATTCATATTACACTAAAGCCTGAAGACCAGTGCTTTTAAGGTCAACTCCAACTAGATTTGTTGGTTGACGTTAATCAGCTCACTTTGAATGCTGGGTGTGTAGTGGTGAGTTTAACACAAATCTCTGCTGGTATGGAGTTCAGAGTTTTATGATATCAATACCATATTTTATAAATTGTGTATATCTCATACACAGTTCTTCAAATTTTTCTAATTGTCTCCATAATGTTCTTTTTAGTGTTTTGGTTTCTGTTTCTGTGTTTGTTTTTCCCTTTTCTGATGCAGGATCTGATTCAGAGCACACATTGCATTTAGTTGCTGTGACTCTATAGTTTCCATAGTTGGAACACAGGTCCAGTTTTTCTTTGGCTTCTCTTACACTGGTATTTTTAAAAAGTATTGACCAATTGCCTTGCAGAATGTCTCTCAGTTTGTGAAATACAGTTCTGTCTAATTCAGTGGTTCCAAACACGTATTATGTTGGACAAGTCGCACAATGACCTGGGAGCTTGGTAAATGCCAAGTTCTTGGATACCTATTCAAGGACAACTTTTAAAAAACACCAGGTGGGATCTCTGACTTTGTCCCAGGACAAAGTATATGGTTTCAATGTGCCTGTATACTAAACAAGTGAACATGCCCTTTTAAATCCCTATTTAGAAAACCTTAGTTCTTGGCAGAAGGCAAGATACATTAACAAAGTGTAGGACTTGGCACTCTCCCTATAATTCCTCCTTACCTCAGCCACTAGGCTGTGAAGAGCTGAATGCTATTTATAACCACCTCTTGTTTCAGATTCATTGCTTCTCCTCACTCACCTTCAGTTGAACTTCTTCTTTTGGCAAAACAAGGGTGAATTTTGCACAATTGTTGTCAGTTGAATTTTGCTCAGTAAGGTATGTGAGGTCTATTATCTCTAACTTGTCAACATACTGCAAAGATAAAGGGAAATCTCATTAAATTATTTCATGGGTAATGTACACTAGTTTTAGTAGGAAGGAAAGTAAGTAATATATTCCTTTCAACTGATGCATACTTTCCACGATATCCTGGTTTTCATTGTGTCATTCCTTCCCAACTCAGAGGGCAAATTTGGAAATGTATTCTGTGGTGGTATACCTTAGCTGGTTCATACAGGTTTGCAAAAGCTGATTTGTTAAATTTTCAAGAATTTTGCTAGCTGGCTGTTAACACAGCCTTTATAAAAGTTAAATTATATAAACATATAAGTAAATAAATTAATTAAAAACAATAATTGAAATTCAAAATGTATTATTTTCTAATTATATTATGACCTAATATTCTCTATGATCATAAAGTTATTTATATCTTCATCTCTGTGTGGTGGAAATGCTATATCATGGTGTGTTACTATAATGCCTTGCTTCCCACCACTATGTTCAGGGAGGTCATGTGATAGGTTGAAATTAGCCATGGTGGGAGTATTTACAACATGGAAATTGATGAACCTTACAAATTAGGGTATGATTTTTGTTTTGTTAATTGTCCCAGGGGCCAGCAATTCTTTTCTGTGAAGGCCGGGTAGTAAATGTTTTAGGCCTTGTGGACCACATACAGTCTCTGTTGCAAATTCCTCTTTTTTTAACAACACTTTGTAAGTGTAAAAACATTCTTAGCTCATAGAGTGTACAACATTGGGCTACAGGTTAGATTTTGGCTCAAGAGCCATAGTTTGCTGGCTTCTGGTCTAGACTTATGTAAGTGAAGGAGAAAATGTTAATAACTCAGATGAAACTTTAAAGTTTGTTTTGTCTGGAACTTTTTAATTTTGAACAGAACAAAAAATCAACAAACTATTATTCTATAATTCAAAAACTGTTATTCAGCAAAAAAGTTGCTCATATTGTTAAAAGATAGTGGGGTTTTGACATAATGTAATTGTTGTTTTACTTTCCTCTTACTCGTTAACGTAAACCAAAATATTAGCCAACATTCATGTCAACTATCATATTTAACGACAATAAATTTGTTAGGAAAATAGCATACTGGGAAACAACTCTATATATCTTATCATGATTGAATTGCAATCCTAACACAAGTTCAGAAAAATGAACAAAAACATTCTATGACAATTAATTGCTTATATGAAAATTACAATAAGGAATATTGTGTATTTTTAACTGTGTTACTATACATTGCTTATGTTAATAATACTTAAAATAAATTTATATACACATATTCATACATACATTTTTCCAGAAAGCACTATTCAACATTTACCACATACTACTGGTTTTGAGGATCCTATTAAGAAATCCTGCCCTGGCTGGTGTAGCTCAGTGGATTGAGCGCGGGCTGTGAACCAAAGTGTCGCAGGTTCGATTCCCAGTCTGGGTACATGCCTGGGTTGCAGGCCATGACCCCCAGCAACCGCACATTGATGTTCCTCTCTCTCTCTCTTTCTCCCTTCCTTCCCTCTCTAAAAAAATAAATAAATAAAATCTTTAAAAAAAAAGAAAAAAAAAGAAATCCTGTCTTATCCCAGTACAATCAAAATTGTCTTTTCAGCAACTTGTCTATACACTGGTTTGACTTGCTCTCTAGTATTAGAAAGATTAGAACTACCTCTAGCAAGGATAGTAGTGTTCCTATATATAATTTTTTGCTAAATTAAACTCATTCTTGACTTCTTTTTATCTCCTTTTATTTTTCTCTCTGTCAGGCCTAATATGATTTATTTGTACTATATTTTTGTATTATTTTGCTGAATAAATTAAGGCATAAAAATAGTAAATAAAATTCTCCAGAGCTATTTCTATGTTGATTAGATTGAGGGTAAGTTTGGCTTTATCTATTTATTTTCAACAAACGAAGAGACACTAAACATAGAAGAGGAACTTTAAGGGAAGGAGGAATTTAAAATTACACAGAATCTTTATCTGGTGCATTGACTAGATCAAGCTCAGTGAATTTTGCTGGGAGGGGGGGTGGCTGCGGGGGAGGGGGGAAGCAACAAAGGAAGAAGTGGTACAGTTAGATAAAGAGCCTGTAAGCTGAACTATTGATTTCAAAAAAGGAAGTTGTATCTTTTTGTTTTTAGTTGTAATGTTGAAAAGAGCCTTAAAGGTCATCAGTCTAATCTAGCTACCATCTGCTCCTTGAATCTCCTCCAGGCTATCCTTCCATGTGGTCATCTACCCTGTGTCTGAACGTCTCAAACAATGTGGAACTAACACCTTCTCCAAAGCTTTGCCTGCTAGCAATTTTTTTTTCTTGTATTAAACTACAGTTTTCCTTCAGGCAATTTTTATCCATTGGTTCTAGTACCTTTTCTCTGGAATAACAATACATGAATTTGATGACTCACATGACCTGCCAGACTTTCAAATACTTAAATGCAGCTTTAAATTCTTCCCTATTCTAGTCTAAATATCTACAGTTCTTGCCAGTTCTATTCCTGTGCTTTCTTCTGTGACTGTCATCCCCAAAATCTCCCCCAAATTCTGCATCCTCTTTTCATGCAGTTGGTAGGTGGGCAGTTTTGCACCATTTTATTATAACAGTCTCTTCACGGCTTGGTGGTTAAGAATGCTGGCTCTACAGCAAGACAGATTGTACCACTTTGATTAGCTGTCAGATCTTGTACAATTTCTTAATCTTTAAACTTGACTTCTCTGATCTATAAAGTGGGGGTTAAAATAGTACCTATTGTGCAGACTTGTGAGAATTAAATGAGAAAATGCACATAAAATGCATGAATGCTTACTACACCTTCTATGTACTGTCTCGTTTAATCCTTTTGATAACCTTATAAGGCCAGCTATTTTTTTTATCCTAATTTTAGAGATTTGAAACTGAGTGTGTTGGAGATCTTTTATTTTCTTCTCTAGATTTACTTCTATCTCTTCACTGCCCAACACTGCGCACCAGGATATGGACCTATATGAACAACATTATGGGTACCCTTACTGTCTGCCTGCCTGCTGCCTTGGACTGCTGGTGAACCCTGGCTGCAGGTAAAAGAATGAGGAGAGTGAAGTCAGGTATTTATTACCCTAGGCAGTTGCTGCCTCATCCAAAGATCATACTCCTCTCAAGGCAGTCATCTTCACACAACTCTCCCCATTGTTCTCTCACTCTTTCCTTTACTCTTACCTGTGGTCATGGGGCACTGTTACCTGGCCTCAGGGTTCTGTACTATCCTTTGTAATTTTCCTACATCCTGTCCACTGCTTTGAGTATTGAATCTTTATTAAACTCTCTTCAAATTGCCCAACTTGAGATGCCAGTTGTTTTCTACCAGTCTCCTACCTGATACACAGATACAGAGAGGTTAGGTGAGTAGCCCAGATACCAAGCTGGCAGAAAGGACAGTGCCAGGACCAGGATAAAAACCCATATAGTCTACCTGAAAACCAGGCTCTCAAGCACTAAGCTGTACTGCCTCTTGCAATGAGGGATAACTATTAACTCTCTCACAATGTATATTATACAGGGTTACCGAGTTCTTCAAACTCTTACTGACATCAATGGGGAGTTAGAAGGCACAACAGAGAAATTAGTTATGTTAAAACTCATTACTTCTGATTAGCCCTGGCTGGTGTGGCTTGATGGATTGAGCTCCAACCTGTGAACCAAAGGGTTGCCGGTTCAATTTCTGGTCAGGGCACATGCCTGGTTTCTGGTCCAGATCCCCAGCTGGGGCGTGTGTGAGAGGCAACTAGTTGATGTATATCTCACATATGAATGTTTCTCTTCCTCTCGTTCTCCCTCTCTCCCCCTCTCTCTAAAAATAAATAAATAAAATCTTCAAAATAAAATCAAATCAAAAACTTCTGTTTAGTCTACCACGAACAGTGCTGAAATGCCTACAAGTGGAATACAGGCTCTTTTTCTGTTTCTTTTATAAGATCTGGATCTGTGATAATGATGTTCTAAGGAGTGTTGGGCTACTATATCCATGGTCCAAAATGTTTTTATTTAAACAAGTTACTGGATCATAAAGTCACTTATAAGCTTGGCATTTTAAGGTAAGCAAGCATTTGACACTAAAATACAGCATTTTATTTGTGGGGAAAGATGAAATACACAACACATTTCATTTCTATGTGTGTGAAAAAAATTGAAAACAATTACTTGAAACTGATATTAATAAATACCAGAATCTCTTCATTGTTTTCTCATACTTGAGCTCTTAGTAGTCCTGTTTGATATGGGGTATGTTTTTGTCTATCCAGAAAAAATAAATGGCAACATTTTATGTTATGAGGCTTTGGGGATCATCTAGCTCCTTGCAGATTGTAACTGTATGTGACAGAAAGATATAAAGGGGAGAAATTAAGGGTATCACTAGGCAATTGTGTTCAAATGTATGCTAAAATTTTCACTTTTAACCAAGTTTTTAGTATCAGGATCAGAAAGAAAAGAATGCAAAGTTTAAAATATGATATATAATTTACTGCCAGTCAAGATGGCAGTATAAGAAGACATGGCTCACCTCTCAACACAACCACATCAAAATTACAACTAAAATATAGAACAACCATCACTCCCAACCATCACAAATCAAGCTGAATGAAAGTCTGACCACTATGGAATTAAAGAAACCACATCCATCCAGACTGGTAGGAGGGGCACAGACTCAGAACAGACTGGTCCCACATCCACCCATGGTGGATAAAAAATTCAAGAGGGGTATCTCAAGAGAGAGGAGTCCCATCCCCACACTAGGTCCCCCTTCCCAGGGTTCCAGTACCAGAAAGTTAAGTTCCCACAACTTCTGGTTTCAAAAACCAGTGGGGATTGAGTCAGTAGAAGAAACTTCTGGGGCCCCAAGCAGTTCCTTTTTAAAAACCCACACACAGACTCACCTACTCAGACTCACTCCTTCTGAGATCCAGCACCAGGGTAGCACCTTGAAAGGCATCAGTGGCATACAGGGAGAAAATGAAGTGCCTGGCATCAAGCCAAGTAGAGGCCATTGTCCCTTTTCTAAACCCTCCCCACACAATCCAGAAAGCTGCTGTCATATCTGAGACACCCTCAACTGGCTAACACTGTTTGACCTGCCTTAGAGATACCCTGAGACTCTGCCACACCCAACTTACAGGGCCCCCCCACCACAAGCTGCTTTTCCACATGAATGTCTGGTCTTTGCTCATGCTTCATAACTTCCTAAATCCTTTCAAACAAGCAACATCTGGCTTCAGTGAGCCCCAGGTCTAGCACCAGTAGCAGCCAGTCTGGATTTACAGGTTGGCTTTGCCTGGGAATCTCCAGGCCCAGGACAAGTAGCAGCCAGATTGTTTTTCAGCTCAGACAGGGTGGCCCTGGGGAAAACACAAATGAGGACTGACCTTGGTGTGCTTCACCCAGGAATCCCCAGGACCAGTAGATAGCTACAGACCACATCAGAGCACCAATGCCACCACACAGCTGATCCCCCGTGGAGGGCAGAGGTTGGTGGTCAGTGGTCACAACCAGTCTTTGCAGCTGGCTGGCCTGGGTAAATCCTACCCATGATCTGCCAACAGCAACCAAAGCTCAACTGCAAGAAAAGGGTATATCCAGTCCACACAAAGGGCGGACCTCAACTACCCAGCTTGGAGATAGGAGAGGCTGTGCCACTGGACCCCACAGGACACCTACTACATTAGACTACACTACTAAGACAATGGAGTCAAAGCGGCTCTACCTAATACATAGAAACAAACACAGGGAGGCTGCCAAAATAAGGAAACAAAGAAATGTGGTCCAAATGAAAGAACAGCTCAAAACACCAGAAAAAGAGCTAAACAAAACAGAGATAAGCAATCTATCAGATGCAGACTTCAAAATACTGGTTATAGGGACACTCAAGGAATGTAGTGAGCAGCATAAAAAAGATCCAGTCAGAAACAAAGGATACGCTAATTGAAATAAAGAACAATTTACAGGGAAACAACAGTTGAGTGCTGAGAATGAAATCAATGATTTGGAACATAAGGAAGCAAAAAACAATCAGAACAAGAAGAAAGAAAGAAGAATCCAAAAAAGTGAAGACTGTATTAACAGCCTCTGGGACAACTTCAAGAGGTCCAACATTCACATCATAGGGGTGCCAGAAGGAGAGGAGAAAGAGCAAAAAACAGCAAATCTATTTGAAAAAATAATGAAAGAAAGCTTCCCTAATTTGGTGAAGGATATAGACTTGCTAGTCCAGGAAGCACCAAAGTCCCAAACAAGCTGGATGCAAAGACACCTACTCTAAGACACATCATAATTAAAATGTGAAAGGTTAAAGATAAAGAGGGAATCTTACAAGCAGCAAGAGAAAAGAAGTTAGTTACCAAAAGGGAGTTCCCATAAGACTATCAACTGATTTCTCAAGAGAAAATTGCAGGCTAGAAGGGATTGGCAAGAAATATTCAAAGTCATGGGAAGCAGGGACCTACAGCCAAGATTTCTCTCCCCAGCAAAGCTGTCATTTAGAATCAAAGGGCAAATAAAGTGCTTCCCAGACAAGAAAAAATTAATGGAGTTCATCATCACCAAACCATTATTATGTGAAATGTTAAAAGGCCTTATTTAAGAAAAAGAAGGTCAAAGCTATGAACAGTAAAATGGCAAAAAATACATATCTACCAACAATTGAATCAAAAATTAAACTAAGCAAACAAGAAGAACAGAGGCAGAATTATGGATACAGAAATTGTTTTGATGGTTGCTAAATGGGAGGGAGGTGTGGAGGAATGGGTGAAGTGGTGAAGGAGTTAAGAAGTACCAACAGGTAGTTACAGAATAGCCATGGGGATGTAAAGTACAGTATAAGAAATGGAGTAGTCAGAGAACTTTTACTCATTACTCATGGACATGCACAATTGCGGGGGGATTGCCTGAGGGAGTGGGGCTGCTGGGTGGAGGGCAGCAAAGGAGGGAAAGCCAGGACTACTGTAAAAGTATAAACAATAATATTGAATTTACAAAAATAAAATAAAATATGAGATAATACCTTCTTCTGAGTTGCACAGAAATTTTTATTACTATGGGTCCTATAATTGATACCATCACAGATATAAATATTCATATTTGAATTGGATCTACTAGAACATTTTAACTCTTACAACACAGAAAATCCCAAAATAATAATAAACTATATGACAAGTATATATTAGGAAAAAATTGAGTTAGGTAAACATGTTTAACTACTTACTATTGTACTTTTTTTGTCGTTATAAAAGAAAAGTGTGGTTCCTCTCAACTCTGTCCAATAATGTTTATATTCCTGTGGAAAAGAAACCATAAGCATCAGTGTAATAGTTATCTTGTTGATATTTTACTTTGTGACTTTCTTAATTGCTATGAGACATAAGATTCTTCTTTATCTTGAGATAAATCACCTAATTTTTATGGCTTAATTTTACATTTGAAACTTAAGTCCTTCAAAAATTTATTTTAGTGTAAGTTGTGAGGTAAAAATGCAATTTGACCTGTGTTGAAATAGGTCATTTACCAAAGCTCTCCTCATTGGTTTAGGACATTTGATTTTTATGCAGTTGCAATGGAAGAGGGATCATTTAAGGGACCAGGAGAGGACAGGACAAGCATTTAATGTCTGCTTTGAGGACAGGGGAAAGGACTGAATAAATTAATACATGTAAAGCACATAGCATAATAAATTACTCATAGTTCGGGCTCAATAAATAGTACATGTTTATATAGATCAAGGAAATGCAAATGATCAATAATAATAAAAATAACAACACCATCAGAGCTGAACTTTGAAGTCCAATTTCATTCATGTGGTAAACATTTCATTAATATAGTCACATTGTTACAGGTTCTATAGATATATAACTTTTTACATTTAAAAATGTAAATAAACTAGTCAGACTTTCATTTCACTCAAGTGAGAATTTATTTAAACAAAGGTAACTTACAGTCTATGAAGATTGTTTGTATTATAAAAGAACAGCAAGGGGATTTAAAGATCTTTCCACATCTAAGGACTAATCTTCATACCCAGCTCTTTCCAAAAGTATGTTTAAAAATTTTCTAGTCAGTTTCATGGATGTGTTGATCATTCCTTCCTTTAGGGTTTAATAAACTGATTTTTTTGTAACATATTAGGTTAGCTGAATTTATATTGAGGATTAAGGTAAAAAAATCACATGAAGAAAATTTTTTCATTTGCTTATAAATGTGAAGACACTTTTATGTATTATGGTATTTTGTGTCTCTTTAATATTGACACATAATTTATCCCTATTTTGACCAGCAAAATGTTTGTCACCTCTTCAGAATTTATATACTTATTTTCTCAGATAATGGGAACTCTATAACCCATTGTTTTTATTTGCCTTGGCTCCCAGGAAGCTCAGGATTGAATTCATTCTGAATTACAACAACCATCTTTCTCATATTCTTAGTAGAACTATTTTCTCTCTTTGTCTTCATAGCTGATACGGTGCTATGTTAGTCAGCTTTTGTTGTATAACAAGCTACCCTAAAACTTGGTGGACTAAAACAGTGAATGTTTTCTACTTTTTATCATTCTGTGACTAGCTGATGATTCTTTAAATGGTGATGCTTGATTGTGACTGCATGGTCTAGGATGGCCACCCTTACTTGCCTGGGGTCTTAGCTGAGAATACAGAATGAATAACGCAGAGTGGTACAATCAGAATAGATTTGATCTTTGTCCTCTAGTTCCTGACATAGAGATGCTAAACCCCAAGTGGCAGGATGTTTTTGTTACTCATAATGAGCCCCTTTACATCATACCCGAGTTTATATCAGTAAGGTTACTTAAGATGAAACCCATGGAGAGCTTCGGGATCGGTCTAGTCCCTAAAAGAACACATGATGAGAGGGTTGGAACCTTCAGCCCTGCTCACTGATGTCTAAAGAGTGGCGGGTGAATGGGTCTGGAGATTAAGCTTTCTCAAAACTCTTGAACAATGACATTTGATGAGCTTCTTAATTAGTGAACACATGCACATGCCACAGCTCCACAGAGATAGAGTATTCACTTGTGCTTGGGACTTTTCTAGACTTTGCTTTATACAAGGTCTGTCCAGAAAAAGTCCAGTATTGTTAATATAACAAGAATGCTTTGCATGGCATTGGTGTAAAATGGCAGCCAAGGAGAATGGACTGAAATGCACATGCTTGAACAATGATGACTTCATTGTACTAGTCAGCAGGGTGGTAGATGCTGCTGAGTGAGCATGTATACTGTGTGGCTATTGCATTCAAAATGACTGATCAAGTAGAGAAATGAATATGCATCAGATTTTTCATTAAGTTTGAACATTCCTCAGTGGAAACTATTCGGATGATTCAGAAGGCCACACCTATGGGCAAATGATGATTGGCAGCTTCATCATGACATTGTCCTTGCTTATGCATCATGGCTCATGCATCACGCCTCATGCAGAGTTTTTTGATGGAACATCAAATCACCTAGGTGACCCAGCCCCTCTATAGTCCAGATTTGGCACCATGAAACTTCTGGCTTTTCCCAAAACTAGAATCACCTTTGAAAGAGAAGAGATTTCAGACCGTCGATAAGATTCAGGAAAATAGGACAGGGCAGCTGATGGCAATTAGGAGACTTGTGTGAGGTCCCAAGGTTCCTACTTTGAACAGGACTGAGGTGTCATTGCCCTATGTCCAATGTTTCTTGTATATTATATCTTTTTCATTAAATATCTCTATTTCTCATATTACATGGCTGGATACCTTCTGGACAGGCCTCTTGTACCACTTGATCTGACTTTTAATTTGTATCCCTTACCAGTAAATGTAAGGAAAGTGTATTCTTGAGTTTTGTGAACCATTCTAACAAATGATCAGATCTTAGGAGGAAGTCATGGGGAACCCCTGATTTATAGCCAGTTAGAAGTGTGAGAGGCCAGGGACATGCTACTGGTAACTGAAGTTGGTGCAGGACAGTCTTGTGGGACTGAGCCCTTAATTAAGCTGTAGATTCTGCACTAAATCTGAATAAGTAATTAGTTTTGAAATTGAACATCTAGAGAATCAGAAAATGGCTGATGGCATTGGGAGACACCCCACTGAGACAACTGGAGTCTCCCTCCACGCAGTTTCATTCTCCAGCTAGCCTAGATTTGTTCACATGCTGGCAGAAGGATCCCCAGGAGCAAGAGAGAGCAAAGCCCAATGGGTGAATACTTTCTAATCCTCTGCATTTGTCATGTTTACCAAAGCATGACCCAGGCCACATTCAAGTGGTAGAAAACAAAATCCAACCTCTTCATGGAAGGAGCAGAAAAGTCCTATTTCAAAAGGGTGTGCGTATATTGAGACTTGAACAAATTGGTAGAATTACTGTAGCAATCCACCTTAAGAGCAAAGTTGGAACTTGGAGCAAGGTTTCTTTGTCCAAGCTGTGTGATCTTTCCACCCCATCCTATCTCCTCATTGAGAGCTGGCTCTCAGGTAATTGTAATGAACATGCTGATGCCTCCTCACCACAAACAAGTTATCATAGGAAAGAACAATTCCAAAGGGCATAAGTTTAAAGGAGCAGCCAATATATGGTCTGCAAAGAAACAGTTATAAAACCAGGCAAAGAGATTTTTCTTCTTGTCTGAAATCCAGATACCCAATATGTACCTGACACATCTCAGAGTCAAGCAGTTTCATAAAGTAAAAAAAAAACTTAATTTCAGCTCCATCAGAAGTCTTCTCTTCTCTTCTCTTCTCTTCTCTTCTCTTCTCTTTTTTTTTTTTCATGTAGGATGCAGTGCTATTAGCGATACAATTGTCTTTTACCTGGTCTTTCTGCCACCTCCTGTGGCCTCCAACCTGTCCTCCACAGAGCTGCCAGAGTAGGACTGCATAATAGGTGAGTTTTTTTGGTGTGGGGGACAGTATGCTCAACTTAGTCCCATCCTGTCTTCTCTCAGCTCAGCCTACCAGGAAAGAGTGGGTGTTCAGTTGTATTCTCTGCCCTGTAGCAAATGGCCTCCAAGAGGGGCAGGCTTATGCCTCTTAAACTGAGTTAGTGACTCAAGGTAGCTCAGGACTACCTAAATGTAAGATAAGGTGTTAGCATAGTTTTGGACTTAAAGCTAAGCCTCACATAGATTTTCTTAACAATAATAGTGGCTAATTGGTCTTCATTTATATGATTCCTGTATCTTAATATTTAATGACATATGTTGGCCACTAAAAAAAATGCATTGCTATATTGGTGTAGCCATTATAGAAAACAGTATGAAGTTTTCTCAAAACATTAAAAATGGATCTTCCATCCATTGATTTCACTTCTGAGAATTTATCTGAAGAAACCCAAAACCCTAATTTGAAACAATACATATACCCCTACATTTCCTGCAGCATTATTTACAACAGCCAAGATATAGAAGCAACCCAAATGTCCATCAGTAGATGAGTAGATAAAAAAGCTGTGGTACATACATACTATGGAATATTACTTAGCCATGAAATCTTACCTTTTGCAAAAGAATGGAGGGACCTAGAGGGTATTATGCTCAGTGAAATGAGTCAGTCAGAGAAAGACAAATACCATATAATTTCACTTATATGTGGAATTTAAATAACAAAATAAATAAACGAACAAAACTGAAACAGACACATAGACACAGAGAGAAATCTGATGGCTGCCAGAGGAGAGGGAGTTTGGGGGGACTGGGTGAAAGAGGTGAAGGGATTAAGAAGTACAAATTGGTAGTTACAAAATAGTCATGGGGATGTAAGTGTAGCATAGGGAATACATACAGTCAATAATATTGCAATAACTTTGATGCCATTTGGGTGCTGGAAAAATTTAGGGGAATACTATATTTAGGGGGATACTCTGTAAAGTATATGATTATCTAACCACTAAGCTATACTCCTGAAACTGATACAAAATAAAATTGAATTAAAAAAATAGCAGTGCCTCCTTATTCACATTATTATTTTCTAGTTTCCATTATCGATATCATACTTTTACCACATGGCAATTTGTATGTGTGCATGACAGACAATGTGGCATGTAAAAATCTAAAATAGAGCTCTTTCACCCTGGCTGGTGTGGCTCAGTGTATTGAGTGTATTTGGCCTGTGAGCCAAAGGGTTGCTGGTTTGATGCACAGTCAGGGCACATGCCTGGGTTGCAGGCCAGGCCCCCAGTGGAGGGGCATGCAAGAAGCAACCACACATTGATGTTTCTCTCCCTCTCTTTCTCTCTCCCTTCCCTTCTCTCTAAAAAATAAGTAAATAAAATCTTTATAAAAAATAAAATAAAATAGA